AGAAAAGCACAAAGATCAGTGTTTACAGAGCCATAGAGCTGTCTACTCTCTTATACGGATCTGAATCATGGGTCATCTACCGCCACCACCTCCATCTCCTAGAACACTTCCATCAATGCTGTCTCTGTACAATCCTAAACATCCACTGGTCAGATTATGTGACCAATACATCTGTTCTAGAACAAGCAGCAGTCACAAGTATTGAGGCCATGTTGCTGAGAACACAGCTGCGCTGGGCAGGGCACGTCTCAAGGATGAAGGACCACCACCTCCCTAAGATCTTGCTTTATGGTGAACTTGCCACCAGCTGCTGCAAGAGAGGAGCCCCAAAGAAAAAATACAAGGACTCCCTGAAACAACATCTCAGCCTTGTCCATACTGATCATCATAACTGGTCTACTCTGGCCTCCAATCAGGAGGCCTGGAGGCACACCATCTATAACGCTGCTGATGCTTTTGAGAAAGCACACAGGATCACTCTTGAGGAGAAAAGACAATGCAGAAAGAATCGTGTCTTGCAGAATATACCATCTAAGGAATCTTTCTGCTGTGCCTTTTGCAACCGGACATGCCTGTCTCGTATTGGCCTTTTTAGCCACCAGCGCGCTTGTAACAAATGTGGGTAGAGCTCTTCCCAAATCTTCGTTTGCAAAGCCTAGCCATGATGATGACTTGTGTGTGTAATGTGTGGCAGCTTTCATTAAAAGGGTGTGGCTGAGCAGCTGAGCATCTGGCTACTGCCTTTGCCCTGTTTTGTCTCCACTTCATGAAGTCAGATAAAATCATGGGGAGCAAGCAAGGCATTTCTTTCTGATCAGGCCTTTCTATTGCTCGAGCTTACACTTGTCACTGGCATCTTGTTACAAGTCATTGACCTTTTTGCTTGGTTTGACTCTTTTTAAGAGGGTAGGAATATGATGAATGATTAACTTCTTTCTTCTGATGTTATCCTACTCATTCCACATGGTTCAAGTAGATTGTTAGATTTTCCTAGATTTTTCACTAACAGGGAGGAAAAAGAAAAGAAAAGGAAAAGCAGTTCCAAGACATTTTCAAAATCCTTGAATTGCAAAATGGAGAAAAATCCCCATCACTTTTCTGGGAAAGTTGGCTTAGCAAAGTAAAGTGCAAAGATTCAGCAGAAATAATACTTTTTGTCAGAAGAAAAAGTCCAAAAGGCTCTCAGGAGAAACTTTTCAAGGCTGTCACATTACCCAGGCTTTCCAGTAATTTTGTTTGATTTTTGTTTTTGTTTGTAAATCTGTGAAACACATTTATGGCTCAGTATAAAATTCTTCTGAAATTTTTCTCCTTCATCTGCAGGTTGATGGCCACACAAAAATGTGCCAGTGCTCTTCAACATCATAAGTCAAGTCCATTAGCCACAGCTGTTCGTGATATTGCTGTCCTTCACCAGTGTCTGTGGTGTCACTCCCAGTGACATACATCAGTCTCACCTTTATTCTAATCGTCCAGTTCACGTCTTGGCAACTGCTTCTCCAAACATGCCAAAGCACTGCACAGCCAGACACCACACAGGCACAACTGCTCCATTTCCCACAGTTAAGGTGTTTCCCAAGCTGTTGCCACTGATACAACCACTAACCTGTTCCTCAAAAATATTCAAATTACAGCCTTTCCCAAGGATTCATTCTAGGTAGAAATATGCTAGCATACACTGGTTGGATGTAGCTCCTGGGAAAACAAAAGGCTCCAAGGATCTTCTTTCTCAGCTCCCCCTTGTGTGTCAGCAGGACAACAAGTTACAGAGATGAAATCAGTAATAGTTTTTATATTCTTAGTCCTAAAAATCTCTGCATGGTTGATCTGTGCTCTGTCTTAAAATGCTTTTGCTCTCCTTGGGGCTTTTAATACACTAAGTCTTTCCATTTTACCTCAACTCTTGCTTGGACTTCTAACAGTGTTCCTTCAGAGAACTCCTTGGCTCAGCTGGAGGCAATGACCTAAGTCCTCTGGCCTGCAGGAAGGGTAGGATTTCAGCTCTCATTCTCGCAAACTTTCTTCATTTTCACAGTACCCCTTCATCTTTATTTTTCATTTCCTATGGCTATTTCCTAAACCTTCTTCTTCATTGCTAGTTCATACAAATTTCTCTCAAATTCTCTCTTTTCTTGGCATTTGCTGCTCTTCAAAGACTCCACTTACACATTTTGGAAATGTGTTCATTGGGGATGTCTGTGTCATGGTTCAAATAAAATCATCAGAGCCTTTTTATTGGCTAGGTACCTTTAGTGCAAAGTCTCACTGCAAAAGTATTGTGTTCACTCAGCTCTCTGAGCCAGCTGGCTGTTCATTTTTACCACCATGCGGTGCCCATGCTCTTATCCTGGCCACTTTTCTTGGTTTTTAGGTCTTTGGATGATAGGACATGAAGAAATGGGTACAAACTGAAAGAGGGGAAATCTAAGTTAGATATAGGAAAAAATTGTTTACTATGAGGGTGGTGAGACCTTGGAACAGGTTGCCCAGGGAGGCAGTGGACAAGCCCAGCCCAGACTGAATAAGGCCTGGAGCAACCTGGTCTAGTGGGTGGTGTCCCTGCCCATGGCAAGGGGATTGGGATTAGCTGATCCTTAAGATCTCTCCCAACTCTTAAAGTTCTATGATTCTATGATTTCTAAAATACTGTCGCTTATGAATGCAAACAATTCAAGGCATTTGCCTTCTGAATGCAAACTGAACTTCTGATGTCTAGTCACACTCACATTTTTGGTCCTTGATGCCCAAGTGATGCAACAGGCAAGGCAGAGTCTCACAGAATGACTTTTCTATTTTTTGGCAGGATGTCTGTGCCCCCTCCTCTTCTTGGCTCTTTGATTGGAGATGATTAAAATGCCATGGTTTTGAGAGGATTGTTTGATGTGTGAATTTTCTTGACTGCCAATACACAGGGTGATAATGATGTGTCCTTAGAGATTGCTCCTTGGATGGAACATATTTAAAGCAGAAGCCTGCAGTTGTGTTCGGGAATGCAAACAAGGAAAAATAAAAGAGAGATATGGCAAGCCTGAATAGTGCCCTGTTGTCTCCTATGAAAGGGAAGAGGTATAAGACAGAAAGAAAGATTGATTCAATCAATCTACTGGCTGCTGGGATTGTAAATAGTTGCTTCTATAGCTGTAGAAAAGATGTTTATTAATGACAATCTCTACTTAGAATGTACTTGTTATTTTAAGGAATACCAAGTTGTGAAGCACTGCTCCTCCCATTTTTACTGCATAGAAGATGAATCTACACCACAGTGATGCCCAAAACTTTCTTTAAAATGCCAGTAAGAAGTCTCTCTGTGTATTCTGACTCTTTGAGGATTCAAAATCCCTGCTCCTTTGGATGAGGAGCTTGCTCTTTGAAACTTCAGCCATCAGACTGTTGACTCATACAGCAGTTGGCTTAAAAGAAATGGTGGTTCTGTAAATTCATGTTTTCTAGTTAAAAAATATCACCTCCCCCTCTGTAGGGATCAGGAAAAGATTTTCTCTCTTCCCTTATCCACCAATATTCATGTTCACCAGAATGTTCCCTGTATAATTCAGTTCATACCTGCTGCTTTTGCAGAGTCTTGATGCTGTTAACATTTCTTCCAACCTTTCTAAATGGTAGAAAGCATTGGTTTTATTTAGGGAGTGAGATGTGAATCAAGCTACTGTCAAAAACATATTTAGAAAATAGAATTTGTAAATGTTGTATCGTGTGGGTGGAGTTACAACACCATTATTTTGATTCCAGTCTCTCAGTATTAAAAAAACATTTTGAAAAATCAAGACCTGGGTAAAGGATTTTTTAGAAGCTATGTGCCAGGCCTGTCTTACATTCTTGAGACACACTGTTCTAAAAATATCTCATGGTTTGTGTCTAGATCATTTTACCCTAAATATTGGGGTGAATGAACAGGCATACAAAAAGGCATAATGATGAATCTTATTTCAATTTTCTTTTGAGAATAAACATCAGTTATAAAACAGTAGTTAGCAATCAGCAATTAATTAAAATTTAATCTCCTTGAGTGAGTGGTAAGATATAAGGTTTGAGTCATAATAATCATGTCTAGACTAAAATAAAAAAGGACAAGTTTCTTTACTCTTTCCCTGTCAGGTGTGTTTGACAGCCCATATCATATTTTATAGCATCGTTTTTGTTGGTTTTGAGTTTCTCCTCTGCTTCCAAGTTGAAACTGGCAAATACTGGATGTGAACAAATATTCTAGCAGTGCTATGAATTGTAGTGCCAATATTGGACTATAGAGTTCCCTGCTGAAGAGCCAACACAATTTTTGTTGTTTCTCAAGCACTGTTTTACTTGACTTGTGTTTTGGGAGTGGTCCTTGCAGTCAGCCATCTCCCTGCTCATGTCCAAGTCCTGCTTTGGAGGGAGCTGGCTGGAGGAGGCACTGTGAAAAGCCACTGTGTGAGCCAGGAGTTAATCAGCACAATCACGCAGCCAGTACTCAGACTGACGCCTGGCCCTCTTGCACTTGGCAGATAGGTGCACCCTTTGACTCATCTTCTGGCAATGCCCAAGGGCTTATGTGGTTTGTTTCTGCAGCTCTGATATTTACAATCAGTTTAATAACATAAAATCCATATCCTTCCATTCAGACTGACTTCTTCATGAGAACTGGAACTGTATTTGTCGCATCTGGAGCACTGTGTCCACCCTAGGGCTCCTGAGTACCAGAAATGCATACAGCTACCTACAGGAGAGAGTCCAGCAAAGGACCATGAAGGTGATTAAAGGCTTAGGATATCTGATGTACAAGGCCTGGCTGACAGACCTGGCGCTGTTCAGTCTGGAGAAGAGAAGGTTCAAGAGGGATTTTATGAATATGTATAAAAATCTGATTGGAGAAACAAGAAGAGGGAGCCAGGCTCTTCTCAGTGGTGCCCAGTGAAAGACAAGAGACATCAGGCAGGAACTGAAATACATGAAATTCCATTTGAACACATGTAACAGTTTTGGGTCTAGGCCTTCCTTCCTGGTAACCAGGAAGTAAGTAAGTAAGTATTCCATCCTATTCCTTTACGTAACCAAACACATAAATAGATGGAGAGAGAAGCCTCTTCCTCTCTTCCCTTCTGGCAAGGTTTGGAGACAGCAGTCTTCCGCAGGTCGGTCTCATTCCTGTGGGGGAGCTGAGGCCTGGCCGGGCCTACAGGGCCTGTTGTTTGTGCCGATCCAGGGTCCAGTAGTCTGGCGGCGGTCGTTCAGTGTGATTTCTGCTGTCCAAAGGAAAGTAGTAAGATATTCTTTTGCTAATTCTTTAGTTTGCTAGATCCTGAGTTTTTGATTGTGCATATCTCTTTTGGTTTTGTCCTTTTTTTGTCCCTTTTTTCCCCCTTCTCCTTCCCTTTCCCTTTTGGGATTGTATATAGTATTTCAACGGTATATAACTGTACTATATGTAAATACATATATATATTTTAATACAGTTTGGCTAGTCTGAATTTTTTCATAATTTTTTTTCTCTTTTGCTCTTTGCAGGAGGTTTTGTGCTGGGTCTTGGGGACTTGGCAGGGAGCCAAATCAAAACTTAGACAACACAGAAACTAGCTATGAACTGAATAGTTCTGAAGGTGGTCAAACACTATAATGAGTTGCCCAGAAAGATTGTGGAATCTCCATATTTGGAGATGCCCAAAGCCTGACTGGACAAGGCCCTGGGCGACCTGCTGTCTATGACCCTGCCTAGAGCAAGGGTTTGGGCAGGACAGTTGCCAGAGATGCCTTCCTACAGAAAACATTCTCAAAAAAGTAAGCCTACAATATTTTCAATGTGTTTGACACATATGGAGGTACTGCTGCCTTATGCATAAGCCTGTTAGATGCCTAGGTGGATAACCACGCAATTTAGTTGTGTTTATGAAAATTGCATACATTCAAAACACAAATACTGTATGTATTTTACTTTTTAAAACCAATGTTAGCTACAGATTCTGAAGGGTTTTTCCTCCCTTTGTCTCCTTTTGACAGAATGGCTCACTGCAACCACCATTTTCAAGTGTAGAGGAAGTCATTGTCATAAATGTAAGGTCCTTTAAGGGGAAATGAAGAGAAGCCACATCCCCCCTGATATGCTAGGCAATGCAAATAGCCCTGCAGGGACTCTGGTTCTGTGGCCAACAGCAAAAGGCACACTCACAAGTGAAATAGGTACCTTTTGCAAGGGGCAACCCTTTTACCTAGAAGCAGCAGCTAAGCTGTACTGTTACTACCCTTTGCTGAATATCCAGAAGGTTTTGAAGGTGTTAATGTGTGAGCACCTATTTTAGTAAATTCATAGCTGGAGGAATGAAGCTGACTGGAATCTGCCCCTCAGGTCATAACTGAAGGTCATAAACTGAAGAATGGCTGTGGATACAATGTACAAAAAAGAACAGGAGCTGCCAGCTCCAGAGACATGATCACAAGGAAAATAATGAACTATATTCAGGAAAAAATACAAGGTATAAGAATTAGGAAGACTAGTCCCGACATTAAAAACAATGTAGTCTTGTGTAGGAAAAGGGCAGGGATAGAAAATCTTATAAATAACAATCATGTGCTTTTTCTGTGTTTTCTCTAAGGGTGGTGGAATATTTTCATAAATCCATGACTAATTTTTTAGTTCTGGATCTCAAGCCAACTCTGCAATTAGCTAAACCTTTTAGTATTTTTAGTAAGATTACTATATGGATGCTTTCAGCCAAGTTAGTCACACACACGCAAATGCTTTTTTTTACTGAACATTTATTATTCATGACCATGACCCCCACAGCTGAGGAGGCAAAAAAGCAGTTATTAGTTTTTTTCAATAACAAAAATGATCATGTGCTTGATGTGATAGGTCAAATCTTACCCAGAACTAGGACAGAAAATAAAAATTTCTTTTAGGAAAAAAATCACCTATCTTTAGACATCTAAAGGTAGCCAAGTCTATCTTTGGAGCTAGTTTCTTCTGCAAAACCATTATGGAAGATGGAAGGGGTTTTTTTGGTGTAATTAACTGGTGTAGAGAGTAACGAGGCTGTTACTAAAGGGAAGTGACACAGTATGCTGGTATTGCCTGGCTGAATGTGAGTCTACTGAGTATGGCAGTCCTTTCCATAATAATGAACTTGTAATATGACTTTGATATTAGTTTTATTAGATTTTAGATCAATCTTTTAATATTTTTGTAAAGTTATTTTGATAAGTGATAGAACTCTTATAGTTAATTATATATGCTACCTCTGACCTTTTTTCTCTTCTTTATGCTAACTTCTTCATCTCCAAGTATTCTTCTGAAGTCTTTTAAATCTCTGAAACTCTATAAATAACTTTTTCTCATATTTATATTGAAGTAACTGAGTTACATCGTATCTTGAAAAGTTTTATCAAGTATTGCAATAAATGAAAGCCTTGTCAGATGTACACAAATATTTTCAACAACACTAAGAATTACTACGGTGTGTAATAAGTAACTGAGAGCAAATAGCATGATTCTCAGTCTTAAAGATGAAAAATGTATTACTGGACAAAGCAGTAAAATCTTACAGTAGACTATATCTTGGCAAAAATACCTCATGGATTTAGTTGCTCTTTAGCACAAATTTATTCATTTTAGTCTTCTTAGGTCCCTGTTCATCATTCTTTTTGGCATTTTATACCACTTCTAGCAAGCCTATGTCCAATTAAAAGGAACAGCTAGTTACAAGGAAAGTTTCTAGATGAGAATCTTTATGGGTACCTATTTCTGTGCTTCTAGTGTAAAAACCCAGGTTTGAGGGCTGTAAAATTTGAACTTAAGGCCTGTTTTATCTGTATTGTAGTAAAAACATGATCCTTGTTTGGGCTACATTCACATCTTACGTATTTATTTTCTGTCCTTAGTACATCCTATATCCCCTTGCTAAAATTCTTAATGTGGAACTCATGGTACAACATGGGAATTCAGAAAACAGAAAAAATGTGGTGATGCGTATACTGTCATGGTACATATGCTGGCTGTGCTGTTACAGTCTTTCTTACCTGGATCTGTAGACTAGTAGGTCTGGAAACAATGGTCTGACTTGTATTTTGATCTCCATCCATCTCTCCTTAAAACACAAACCATAAAGGAGAGTGATTGGACCACTGAAGACCTCTATCAACCTCATTCCCATATGATTAAATTGAAAACATAGCCTTGTCAGCTTGGCTGTCAAGGGGAAGCATCATTTATAACAAGCTCAAGACCTTGATCTTTTGGAAAATGAATAAAACACATTAGATGCCTCACAGCAGGAAAAGGTTTTGCTTGGCTGTTTGGGTTTTGTTTACTGACAATGTTTCCAAAACCACACTGTTGTTTTGTTCATGACCATGTTCTAAACCTATTAATTAGTATCTCTTTGCTCATCCTGCAGCGGTGACTAGATGCTCCAGCCTTGTACATGGCTCCATATAAACCCATAATAAAGAGCTGAAGATCTTTTTTCCTCCTCTCAAATTACACAAAGCGAATAGTGCAAACAGTTGGGAGGGGTTCAAGGCATAGCAGGCAATAGATGTGATTATGGCCTGTTCAAGTTTGAGTCCATTCTTGTGGGTAACCAAGGCAGTGAAGATACGGTGACACATTTTGTTGTACATCTAAAGGAAGAACACCCCTTTAGCCCCAGGTGCACATGCCATCAGGAGCTAAAGCACATGTCACTGTGACTTTGCTGTGGCTAGGTGAAGACAGTAGAGTTTTAGCATATACAACGGTTGTATCTTCATTTTTGTCCTGTAGACTTATAAAATTAGATGGGTTATGCATACCAGCTGTCTAATATCTGCCAATATTTTGTCATCTTTGGTGAACAGACAACTCAAGGAGGAAAGTGAGGCAGGATGAGGAGAGTGATGACTTGATTTTAATCACAACTGTTTTCCCTCCACTGTCAGGTGTGTTTGGCAGACTGAAGTTAGTGTGTTGAGCTGGGAGTGCTGGTGCAGCTGTATAGTTTTCTCTGCATGGAGCAGTAGGACTGTGCCAGGAGCTGTGTTGTGGGAAAGGTGGGTTCAGATTTGAGCCAGAGCAGCAAAAACGGGGACAGGTAGTCTAACCAGCAGGATGCAGTAATCTCAGTCCTCAGTGAATCCAGGCTCCAGAAAGCAGATGATCTTAATTTACAAGGGCAAAGTAAGTTATTCAAGGCTATGGGAGGTATTAATTGGATCAGACCTTGTGTTGCTGCACCCTGGGAACAAGACCTTGCTTTGCCAGCTAGGGATGAGTACCTGAAATTCCACAGAGATCTTTCCTCTCTTCTTGCAATTACTTGATTTAGAGTTATGTATTGCTTTGGTGTTAAAAGGTGCTTTCTACCATTTAAAGCACACAGAAAATTTCTTACGAAATACTTTTTGCACAGATTAATAGGAAGGAAATGGTTAGCAATTATTCCTTAGCTAAAATGATCAGACTACAGAAGTCTTCTCTTTTTTTTCTAACATGTTCTTCTGTAGTAAACCTCATGTTTTCTTGAATATATTTTTGAATAATTACATTTGTAAATCTAAGAAGATTGGGGATTGGTTGGATTGCAAAAGATGCTTTGCAAGGCATAACTTGGGCCCAGCTCCTCTCATTTCAGGTCAAACATTACTCTGAAATAGAATAAGGTTTTGTTTGTGGATTTTTGTGGAAAGGATGATGAGAGTGGAGTCTGTAAGAGAGAAACCATGTGGCAAATGCTTTCTTAGCACTTAGCCTGAAAGCATATCAGCATTTAACGCCTCATCATGTAGCTCTGCTGCATCATTCTGTGCTTTGTGACCTAACTGGTGTAATGAAGATGGAAATTTTTATAGTACACCCCTCAAAAACCAATTACTAGTAGACTATACCCTTTCTCACTTACACATTGATCAGATATTACAACTTCTACTTGATGATAAAGTTCATTTTTCCTGTGGATCACATAAGCAGTGTGTAAGGAAATGCCAATTACGGGTGGCCATCTCTCTCTGCTTCTGGCCAGCCAGATTCAGCCAGGTCTCCTGATGAAGGGTCTATGAACTGCCAGCTGGTCCAGCTGGATACCTGCATAACAGAATCAAGAACCCAGCTCACATGCTTATACTTCACCTCTGACCACAGTGCTTGCAATATCAGGAGGGGAGCAACTGTAGGAACTTCCCTTTTTGGAAGTCAGTAGGAAAACTGACTGAATAAGGACTGTGGCAACTTGGTTGTAGACAAGCATCAGTTCTCAACTAAATGTAACAGCTGATGGTGCTATCCTTATCTCTTGTTCAGTAAAATGTCATAGAATCACAGAATTACAGAATATGCTGAGTTGGAAGGGACTCATGAGGCTCACGGAATCCAACTCCTGGCCCTGCACAGGACACCCCAAGAATCCCACCATGTGCCTGAGAGCATTGTTCAAACAGTTCTTGAACTCTTAGGTCAGGCTTGGTGCTGTGAACACTTCCCTGGTGAGCCTGTTCCAGCACCCAGCCACTCAAAACATTTTCCCAGTATCCAATCTAAGCCTCCTCTGACTCAGCTTCATGCAGTTTCCTTGAGTCCTGTCACTGGTCATGAAAGTGAAGAGATCAGTACCTGCCCCTCTGCTTCCTCCAGTAAGAATGCTGAAGACCACAATGAGATCTCCCCTCAGTCTCGTCCTCTCCAGGCTGAACAAAGTGACTTCAGCTGCTCCTTTTACGGCTTCCCCTCAAGGCCCTTCACCATCCTCGTGGCCCTCCTTTGGATGCTTTCTAAAAGCTTAGTGTCTTTTTTATATTGCTGTGCCCAAAACTGCATGCAGTACTCAAGGTGAGGTCCC